CCGGCTTCATTTTGTTCTCCAAGGCCTAACTTATTGGTTATTCCAGTTACCTTTTGACTTCTTACTTTAGCATTCTAGTACCCTATGGCGTCTTTTTTTGGTGTTAGTTCTAGGAGGTGTTGTTAGGTCTTCATAGAACCGGTCCACTTCAGCCTCTTCTGCGTCAGTGGTTGGAGCATAGACTTGGATTACTGTGATGCTGAATGGTTTTCCTTGGATTCAGACTGGATCATTCTGTCATTTTTGAGATTGTATCCCATTACTGCCTTTCTCACTCTCTTGTTGACTATAAAGGCCACACCATTTTTTCTATGGGATTCTTGGCCACAGTAGTAGATATAATGGTCTTCTGAGTTAAATTCGCCCATTCCTGTCCACTTTAGTTCACTGATTCCCAAGATGTCGATGTTCAGTCTTACCATCTCATTTTTGACCACACCTAACTTACCTTGATTCATAGATCTTACGTTCCATGTTCTTATGCAGTATTGTTCTTTGCAGCATTGGACTTTCCTTTCACCATCAGACACATCCACAGCTGAGTGCCCTTTTGGCTTTGGCCCAGCCGCTTCACTCTTTCTGGGGTTACTTGTACTTGCCCTCTGCTCTTCCCCAGTAGCATATTGGACACCTTCCGACTTCAGGGGCTCATCTTCCGGCATCATATCTTTTAGCCTTTTGTTACTGTCCATGGGGTTTTCTTGGCAAAGATACTGGAGTGGCCTATCTGTCCTGGGTGGCCCTCCACGGCATAGCCTGCAGCCTCATCGAACCATGCAAGCCCTCTCGCCACGTCAAGGCAGCAATACATGAGAGGTTTGGCTTTTAACCAGAGCTTAAAAACTGGGTTTTTACATACAAACAAAGGAGGGGGGAGGGGAGGAGAGACCCCCCCTTCTCAAAACAGCATAGCATTAGTGACCATGGATTTTTTTTCACCTTAACCCACTGGTTTCTTTTCTTATACAATATGCTTGCATGGCAAGTAGCAATCATAAAGCTCTGGAAGTGGAATCTGAGATGTCACTTGTACCTCATAGTACATTCCTTATCAATTTACTACTTCTGATCCAAAGAGGTTCATTTTCAAGTAACATCAGTTAAGGCTTAGCAATATAAGAAAATATTTTGACTAAAGGTGTTCATTTAATTTTGAGGAAAGAATAGCAGTTTGAGAATCTCAGTTGATACAGTTTACACTATATTGTTACAATTGTTCAGATTTGCCTGTGCTGATAAATAAGCACATAATGAAAATTGTTTATAAAGAAACATCATTATACATGGTACTTCACAGCATAACCAAATAAGATAATCTCCTGCTCCAAGGAGCCTGCAATTTAGAGGCAAGAGAATATAAACTTGTCTGTTGTTGAAGTCACTAATGTTAAAGAAAAGAGGCTTCAATCATCATTATAACATCACTTGATAAGGATTTCTCCTGCTGTTGGCATTGATTAACCTTAATGTCATCTTAAATCTGTACAGAATCTATGAAAGACAGAAAACCCCGTTATGATGGATCTCTGGTTCGACTGACCAGGAGGTTCATGGATCTTGTCAAAACTGCTCCAGAAGGCGTTCTTGATTTAAATGAGGTGTCACGGCTGCTGGGGGTGCGGAAACGAAGAGTGTATGATATCACAAACGTGCTGGATGGAATACGTCTTATCCAGAAAAGATCCAAGAACCATATCCAGTGGGTGTAAGTTGATTTTCACATCCAGTTCTCAAAAACAACTGAAATTTAGTGTAACTAACGCATATCATGACTTTTAGCACAAGGGTGCTGCTAGAATAGCTACAAGTGGAAGCTCACACAGAGGAATCTCATTTATTCACTCCCTCTCTCCACCTTTCTTTTCCTCTTTGCCTCACTCTGACAATGCCTACAGTCTCTTCCCTCTCCTTCTTTTCCATCTACCTACCTTTTCCTACTCTCGTCTCCCCCACCACCACCGCCGGTTGCCTATGCTGTTCTCTCTCGTCCACAAACTCGTTTGTCATGAACAGACTCAGCCCACCATCTATACCATAGATATAATCATAATGGTCTTCTTTACATGGTTGCTGGAAGGATCCCTGTAACTATCTTTGTGGAGAGATTGTAATTCTTCTGCTGGAAGTAGGGACAAGCTTTGTATAAGTGGCTGTTTGTTTTTTGTTCCATTTCCTAAACACAGAATGTCTTGTAGCCCAGTTCGATATACCATTACCTAGAAAGAGGCTACACTATATTACATTAAATTCTTCAGTATAGGTACATATGTAGGATTGCAGCTTTATTTGGACTACGTGTCATTGGGCTGGATCTAGTGATGCATGAACAAAAAGGAAAATATATTTAGCACAGTTTTACTTGTGGAAGCTGATACAACACGTACCACTTCAAATTATTTTTAGTAAAATAATAGTGTACGTGATTTTTAATGAAGTGTGCCTATGGAGAAGTGGACGCCAGGAACAACGCCCGAGGCCCGCCGGGTGAGAAAGAGAACACGCCACATGGGTGCTGTTAGGTAATCCCTTCCCCGGAAAATTGTGGCCCTAGTTAGACAATTAACTACTGCATAAGTAGTGCACTGTAAACCGCTCTGAGACCCGTTAGGGGTCATGGGCGGTATAGAAATCGAAATGTAAAGTAAAAGTAAAGTAAAGTGTTCGATAGATGGGTTTCTTAATTTTATATAATTTGGTTTTGAAATGTATTGGAAAAAATACTTCATTTCTTTTTGCATATGGAAGAGATAGTGGATGCAGCTGCTTTAATACAGTGCACCTGGCAGCAAGGAGTAATTTTAGTACTTCTACTTGTACAAGCACTGTTGCACATACAAGAATCTTCTTTGGAATCCAACACAGTAAGTGTTACTGTGCAGCTTGTACAGCTGAGTTCTGTGTGGGTATAGGTGTGCCTAAACACATTAAAATAAGTGTGCTTAGTGGTATGCAATTCATGGTAGGCTTGGTTCATACTCTGAAAGCTAAGGTTCTTCAGACTGACAGACACATAACTACCTGACAGTTGAGATTTACAAAAATTCTTTCAGTCATCAGTAAGTTCATGCAGTAGCTGTCTTTTTCCCTTTAAATTACAATATTGCAAGTCTAAAAATCTTTGTCTTTTGTCTTAGTGGATCAGATATCAGAGAGATTACTAAAAGGACACCTGAGCATCAAAAGTTAAAAGATGAACTCTTTGACTTAACAGCAATGGAGGAAGCACTAGATGATTTAATCAAGGACTGTGCTCATCAATTGTTTGATTTAACAGATGACAAAGAAAATGCAAGATATCCTTTTTCTTTTGTTGCATATTGGTAATGAGAAACATTTTGACATGCTTTCATTGAGCAACAAGGAGATGTTATGATTTTTTGCATTACATGTTGTTTTCCTTCACATTAATCATGTCTCTACTAAAAGTGATTATTGAAATTCCTTTACTATTGTATACACTAGCTTATGTGACCTATCAAGATATCCGTAGCATTCAGACATTTCAAGAACAGATCGTTATTGCAATCAAGGCTCCGGAAGAAACAAAAATGGAGGTACCAACTCCAAAAGAAGTAAGCATTTCTCTACAGATATTTTGAATCCCCCCCATTAAACATGCAAAAATGATAATAAATGGACTATTAACAGACAGATTTGAAATAGAAAAAGGCACATGTCAAGGATGTCCACTATCTTAACTTCTATTTATTCTTGCAATGGAGGTATTGGCCTCCAAGATAAGACAAGACCCAAATATTGAAGAATGGAGAGCCAGTGGAGAAGAATTTAAACTTAGAATCTATGATGTTGTCTTAACAATCAAGGACCCGATGGAGAAGAATTTAAACTTAGAATCTATGCATATGATGTTGTCTTAACAATCAAGGACCCCCATACTTCGTTGCCATATGGAATAGAACAAATTGAGAAGTTTGCGTCATTCTCAGGATACATTTGTCTGGACAAAATGGTACACAGTTTAATAACTACAAAACCACATAGGTCTAAACTAAAATTATAATGGCTGGGAAGAATATCCACAATAAAAATGAACGTGCTGCTAAAATTGAATTTTTATTACAGAGTTTACCAATTTCCATACAAGAGAAATCTTTGATGGACTGACAGAAACAAATAAATGCATTTATTTGGAATGGTAAAAACCGAAGAATTAAATTCAAAGTGTTGCAGGATGATAAAAAAGGAGGATTGGCAGTTCCCAGTATCAAGCTATACCATCATGCAGCCAAACTAGTATGGATTGCAGAATGGATTAAAAATCTGAACAATAGACTAATGAAACTAGAAGCTGCGGGGCTAAGAATAGACTGTATTACCATCTTTGGATTGAAAATTCAACTTTGAAAAATAAAGGACAAGACATAAACCATATAATGAGAGACAGTTTACTCCAAACTTGGGGTCTTTAAGAAAAAGAATCAGCCCCATGATATCTCCTATTGTGTCACTACTAATACATGCACACTACAATAAACATGACAGAAGAAACAATGACTTTTTAACATACAAAGATATGATAAATGCCAAAGGTGAAATCAAAACCTGGCAAAAGATTCAAGAAGAAGGGAAGAAGATACAATGGCTAGTCTGTCTTCAGTCAATCTCCAGACTTAAGAAAGATCTTACAGAAAAATAAGGAGTAAGAGATTTGACTGAGTTTGAAAAAAATTATTACACAACATAAATAAAGACCATTTGTTAGGATGACTTTATAAACTATTACTCCAATATGATATGGAGACGGAACAAGTTAAAATACACATGACAAAATGGATGCAGAATCCCTTTTAATAAAGAGAGATCCCTTTCACACTAGGAAAATTTATGGATGAAAGGTATATAGGGTTGCCAAATGTTTTTTGGCCAGGAGCGGGGGGCTCCCGGCCGGCGTCTTAGGCGTGCGCGCATCACCCGGAAGTGACGTCGCAAGCTGGGGGCGTGGCCACGCCATTTGAGGGGAAAACTCTTTGTTTTCCCCTCAAATGGCGTGCCATTTGAGGGGAACACTCTTTGTCACTTCCGGGTGACGCGCATGCGGGGGTGGGGTTTCCCCCGGGCCCCAATTCCGCGGGAGCGGAAATCGGGGCTCGAAAGCGGGGGGGAATTCCGCCCCCCGGGGGCATTTGGCAGCCCTAAAGGTATAAAATCTACAGCCTGTCAGGCTTTAAGAGAAAATTGGTACAAGATGTTCTTCTGAGTGGTATTTTACTCCAGTAGATATCCACAAAATGGACAAGAGCTACAAAAGAAGCTGTTGGAACTGTAAGGAAGTAAAAGGCACATTTTACTATATGTGGTGGTCTTGCAAAAAAATAAGGAAATACTGTGGTGGTCTTGCAAAAAAATGAGGAAATGCAGAGATTCAGAAAATTTTTAAAATCAGATTCCCACTTAATTCAGAGATAATGTTATTGGGAAGATTCCAGATGATGTTGAAAAAACATCACAAGAGTTATTTAGATATATGTTAACAGTGGCAAGAATACGATTTGCAGCTATTTGGAAGACAGAAGATTGTCCAACGAAAGAAGCCTGGTGTGACAAATTAGCTGAATATGCTGTAATGGCAAAGTTAACAAACCTAGTAAACAAAATACCAACTGAAGGATTTCAGCAGAATGATCAAGGTTGATAAGTCTGTATTACCTGATACAAAAAGTTGGCATTTCCTGAAATAACCTCAGAGACAGAGAAAAATTATAGTCACTACTAATGTATAATAATTTTAAATAGTTTTCTGTATGTTACAAACAAACAAAAAGTTTAAAATAATACTAAGTAAGCAATATATAGTGTACTTTAAGAAAGAGTCATAAATGTTATTTTAAAGTATTTATCCTAAATTGCTCATAATTTGGTATGCTTTGGTATGCCTGTAAAAAAAAGAAATGGAAATACTGAGAAATTATTGTAATTGAGTTGAGACGATATCCTACTGTTGTTCTATGTTAGATATCAGAATTGTGTCCTCAACAAAGGTAAAATGTAAAAATTGCACAAAAAAACCCCACCCCGCCTTGTTTAGGCTGTAAACTATGCAAATCTGTTCAAGGAGGATTTTGAATGAAAAGGGTCCATGACACTACTTGCCTGCTTAAATTTCATTTTCTAGTGAGTGTGTTTAAGAGCGGTCAGCAACTGGTAGCCCTGGGGCCAAATTTGGCTCCTAAGTGATGATATATGAGCCTCCATTTTCTACACACACACACGTACACACACACACACCGAGGCAAGGAGGTGATATGAATGAGTGATGTCTGTGGCAGAAGACCATCTGGAGGGGAGGACACTGGGACTTCGATTAAATCCACCTCTCACTTCTTAAACCAACCTTCCAGCAAAAGCAGTTATTGACCAGGAACTTTTTCAAACTTTGTCTTATGTTAACAAAATCTTTGTGTCTTGCAGGATTGTATAGAAGTACGTCTAAGAAGCACAAAAGGACCCATTGATGTCTATTTATGTGAGGTACCGCTAGGTAACCCAGATGGTGATGCTTCGAAAAACACAGGCAGCCTTTCATTCGAAACTAAATAGGCAGCTGCTGTGGATGAAGGTAACTATTATAGTGGAGGGAAGGACACTGATATTCAGTGATTAGATGTAACCTTCTGATTAAACTTGCATAAGCCTAACAAAAAGATAGGAGTTGTGTGGCACCTTAAAGACTAACAACATTGTATTTAGTCTAAGCTTTTGTGGTCACAGAAACACACGAAGCTTCCTCCATCGAGGTCAGTGTGGTCTGCTCTGACTGGCAGCAGCTCTTCAGCTTCCCAGGCAGAGGTCTTTCACATCAACCTTATCCTGTTCATTGGAGATGCCAGAGATTAAACCGGGGACCTTCCCGTGCAAAGCCGGTGCTCTGCCACTGAGCCATGACCCCTTCCCATCTGAACAAGTGTGCTTTAGCCCACAAAAGCTTGGGCTGGAATACAAGTGTGATATTTAACATGCCAACTGACCTGTTCGTTTTTGCTACAACAGGTACAGTTTTTGTTTGTTTAAGTCAATCCATGACATATTTAATGTTCATTGGTCAGATATGAAATGTAAAATCCTTGTATCAGCATCTTCATTGTGGCATGTTACTACGTAGTACTATAGGGCTGAGTACTACTACGTAGTACTATAGTTCTTTAAACAGTAGTGGTGTCCTACTGTATTCTATAGGACAGTCTCTGCTGAAATAAAATGGAGTGTAGAGACATTTGTCTTTAAACAGTAGTGGTGTCCTACAGTATTCTATGGGACAGTCTCTACTGAAATAAAATGGAGTGTAGAGACATTTGAATTGGAAAGCATCCTTACTGTTTCAGCGGTGTTTACTTTCCCAGTTAGTCATGGTCCATGTCATTTATGGGAATGATATTTAGTCCCTATTGTATTACCTTGTGTTGAGATGTTAACCGACACTTAACCATGATGAAGAATAAAAATTGTATAAGTCACTCAGTTTCATTTAGTCCAGTCTTCTTGTTTCCCCAAACACAGGGAAAAGTATTCCAGGCACTAGGAAACTGTCTGGGACTGCTGAATAGCAACCTATAGATTTGGCCAGGGTTCTTACAAAGGGGCTTATATTGTATAGTACTCAGCTATAATTTGCTTTCATTTTGCTCTGCTTTAGAGGATTAAAGTTATCATTCCTTAGGCCACATTTGGAATTACAACGTTGCCCACATTTATATCTGTAGTAGCTGCTTTTAAGAACTTGTACCAGGAAAAGGTTATGTCTTTGCATGGGGGTAGCACTGCTACACCGGTAACTGTTTCCCTTGCTCCCCAAAAGGCTTTGCCTCTTTGTAGAACAACAGTGTCCAGCCATTTATATAGGGTTGTGTTATTCTTGTTGTAGCAGCCCAGCAGTTTTCATCAGCCCATGGTGCAGGATGGTTTCTCTTTAATATCAAAGCAAGTGCATGAGTGAACAGTGTAGTATATATTGCCTTTGTAAGGTTAGATGGCTAGCATTTTCAACATGTAGTTTTAACTTGCAGGGCAAAAGAGGTAATGTAGCTAAACTACATTAAGTTGCATTGGTACTAGACTGAAGTGTGCGTTTATTGTACATGCTTCAGTGCCACTTTGGAGCAATATTTGTTCTTGGGCTTGGTCCTGTTATGGAAATACCTTTAACAAATATGGCTTCCATGACCAATATATATGTTACTCTAAAACTGCATGTCTTCTGTTTTCACTTCTAGAGCAAGCAGAGTAAGAAGAAATCAAATGCTTGTAGTGATCTGAGTCTCAGCTTCATGGACTTCACGGGATTTACATGGCTTCTGCAGGGCAATGCAGAGGCAACAAAGAGCTTTTCGTAACTGCAGTCGGGAGACAAGGATTTGTCCATGGGATTGCAGGGCTAATGCCATGCCACAAAACTTTACAGTAGCACAAAGGCTGGCACTAACCTGCATCCACTCTCCCTCCTCTGGTATCCTTGCCCTCTAATTTCCTGCTGTTTGACAAAAGTAATTTGAATGCTACTGAGTAAGCCAGACTTCAAAAAGAATGCTTGAGTTCTTTCTGTACAGTTATTTTATCAAAGCATGTGTGCAGGCAGGCACACGTGAACAAATCAGTAGCCCCTTGTGCAGCTTAATGAAAGGAGCAGTAATTAAAATGAATTTGTCAATAAAAATATAACCTTTGGGAATTGAATCTGTAGCAAAATATGGATAAGGGAGAATTTTTGAAGAACTGCACTTTTTTTACTCTGAAGGCAAATGGAATGATCAAGGCTGTACTACAGTGCGAAAGAACCTGGCAGGGGAAACATTTCACACAGGAAGAATAAAGGATATAACTTTATCAAAGCTATGTGCACTCTGTTCTGTGGAATCTGTTCCTGTGATGTGCATTGAGATCAGTATTGAACTGTGGATGTAAATCCTGAAGAAATATGGCCCATGTGTATATATGTGTATCATGTTTAAATAGTTGCTAATGGGAATTTTGGCAGGGTGAGTGGCACTTCTGCTTCTGTACAGCAAAATGGAAATAAACTTGTAAATATGAAAAATGCTCAGCCTCTTGACTTTTAGTGCATAAAGCTCTACTAACCTTTTGGTAGTAGCAAACTAATATTTAAGCTTATTTTTTGTAAACGAAAACATGCAATTCTTACAAGAAAATATTGGGCATACATAGAGATGTGAAGGCCTGGGGGCGGGGGGGACAGAAAAATTCAGGGTTCATTTTTCTGACAGGAAAATTGGAAATTTTGGGAAATACTGAAAAATTCTCTTTTTTAGAATGTGTGAAATGGTTTCAAAGACAGAATGGGCATGCTGTAGACATATACAGCTTTTAAATCTATGATACATTTCTACACTTAGAAGGCTAATCTTCATGAGAGGAGCATACAGGGCTCCCATTGCTTTTCAGCTGTTGCATACCTTCCGTTGTCCTTTTGATCTGACTTGTGATTGACCTTTTCACTTCCCTCAAATCACTATGACACATATACCAACAGACTGGTTAACAAGCAGTGTTTGCTCAATTTTGCTGGAGGGAAAAAAATCATAAGGAAATGGGGCAGAAAATTTACCAAAGTCTGAGAGGAAAACTCTGAAAGAGACCAGGATTTCTAACAACCTGCAGCATGGTACGTTTTCATTTTCCATGGTGGTAGTTCACCCTCTCACCAGCTTCTTCCCCCCTACTTTTTTGGAACTCCTTAACTTTACTGATAAAGCGCTAAGGGAAACCTTAATACAGAACACAGAACTGGTCCTGGCAGTATAGATAAACTTTATAGCTGTATTGCATTCCGCCATTCATTCCTCTGTCTGCAATCCATTTTCTCAGCCACTAACAAAAGCTTCCAGAGCTTTTACTATGCATGTTTTACAGAATTTGTAATGTGTTGTGCTTTCAGCAGACATTTAACATCTAAATGTGCAGCTAATTAAACAGAACTGTAAGCATCATTTATTCTGAAAATGATCAGGCTCCTTCCATACTGCTAATTATTTAATGGACCCTGATCCTAGTTGGTGTAGCATATTCAATTTTTGCAAATAACGTGAAAGAAGTTTAAGTTAAAATTCTGGCACTTACTTAGCCTTCAACCATATTGTTCAGTGTTCTTCAGGCTCAGAAAATTTTGCAGGGAACTGTGGTTTGTTTTGAATTATTTGATCTTAAAGTAGACCTTCTTGCTCTTTTGTCTGATCTGTTATGCCAGCCTGATTGTAATTGCCCCTGCTAATTGGAAAAATCAGCAAGTTAGAACGGCTTGATGTAGTTTCTCATTGGACAGAAAGAAAAGGGAAGATAAAAGTCAGAAACACGTTAGAAATTGCTTTGGCATATTTGGACTTTGAAGATAGGCTTTCCACTGTCAAAGATAGTACTGCCTTTTCACCAGTTAGCTGGTTCATGATTCTGATATGTTGTACAGGCTTTCTACTGCAGATACAAGAAATTATAGCTTAATCTTGATTCCTGAAGTCGTTTTTTTAATACTTAAATTTTCAATTTTTTCAACAGAACATATATAATTTTCTTAATACAAAACCTTGTTAAATGTACATGGATTTTTATAGAACGATAACACTTAACAATAACATGCTATTAACAAACTACTGAAACACAACTGCAAAATAGTCTTTTTAAATATATAGTATCAATAATGTATATATCCACTTACAATAACATAACTTTAATAAAGAGCAATACTTTTATATTTTTCTGGCATATGTGGCAACCCACTTGCATGGTTAGATATATGATCAAAAAATACAAACCATTTTTCCATGAAATTATTTCTTTTTAACAATGACTGTACTACCAACAACTGAGTGGCTATCTTATCAGCCACTACTACTTCCCACATTTTAGAATACCAATTATTCAATGTTGGAATTCCATCTTGATTCCATCTTTGGGCTAATAACGATTTTGCCGCCGAAAGGAACAATGAGAGCACTTCAATTGTTTGTTTTGTAAATTTTAAATCTGGCCAATGGTTAAGAAGAACAGATTCTGGAGTGTTTGGAATAACATAACCGGTGATTTTGGTAATTTCTTGTATAATAATCTTCCAATAATTAAAAAAATTGGACAATTCCACCAACAATGCATAAAATTTCCCTTCTGTCCACAACCCTTCCAACAGTTTGGGTTAGATTTAAATTTGCATAAAAATAAACGATTAGGAGTCAAATACCATCGTGAATAAATTTTAAATGACTGTAGTCTAATTGCCAAATTATTAGTTGTGAAAGAAAAGGAGGACCAGACATCATTCCAGTGTTCCTTCGTTATTATACACTTTCTTTACTCCATGACTCTTGAATAGATGATATCTGATTCCATTCCCCTTCATTTAACAATCTATATATGAGCAAAATAATACCTCTTAAGGTATGCGATGATTTTAATATATATTTTTCAAACTGTGGCAATGGTCTATCCAAAAATTTTGTTTTACATAGTTCCATAAACATATGTCTTAACCGCTGATATTGGTACCATTGTATCTTAATCTTAAATTTTTGTTCCAATTGGGTCTGCAACCCCAATTTTTTATCAATCTATGTACACCATTTCCCCAGAACTCTAAAAATTGATTACTATTTCTACCTGGCCTAAACCATTGCTGCCCCAAAAAGGCTGATAAAGGGGAAATACCCGGAGCTATTACATTTCTATATTTATCCCATAAGGTTAAAGTAAAATTTAAAAATTTATTTGTTATCCCTATATTTCTTATATCATTCGACTTATTCCAAATCGCTTCATGTAGAATGTCAGGATGTAAAGATTCTGCTTCAATACGAACCCAAGTTTTATCACAATGTGGGTTAGCGTAATATAACACATTTTTCAATTGGGTTGCTATAAAATAAATATTCAACGAAGGTAAACCCAACCCTCCCTGCTTACTGGGTTTATGCAACAAAGTATATTTAATCCGGGGTTTGGAATTACAATGTTGCCATAAAAGAAAAGAGAGTTTTCCACCTCTTAAATTCTATATTAGATATAGTTACTGGCAGATTTTGAAATTAAAAAAACTTAGGTAACAAAATAGATTTAAATAAATCTTTTTTAAAAGGGAGAAATGCAATTTTTGCCATTCTTGTAAGGTTTTTTTAATATAAATTGGATAAAGGTTCATAATTACTTGAAGCCAGATCTTTCAAATCTACAGGTATATTTATACCCAGGTGTCTCCAGCTTTTTGTAACCCATCTAAACGGGTATACCAAAGTCATATCTGCCTTTTCTATTTGGGAAATTACCATTGGATATAATTCGGATTTAGCGTAATTGATCAAAAAAATGGGAATTAAACTGAACCTATCTATATTTTTCATTAAGTTTATTATAGAGACTCTGGGATTTTTTAAGTAAAAGATGGCATCGTCCGCAAATAAGCTCATTTTACAATTTTCTCCATTTATTTCTATTTCCAAAACTTCTGGATCAGTTCTAATGGCGTATGCCAGAGGTTCTAAAGATAAAGCAAATAAAATCGGGGACAGTGGACAGCCCTGTCTCATCCCTCTACTCAAATGTATATCATCAGATCTATAATTGTTTATTGATATTTGAGCTATAGGGTCTTCATAAATAGTTTAATGGAGTTCAAAAAATATGGGCCAAAATTCATATATGACAATAGTTTTTTTAAATATTTAGGTTCTACTCTGTCAAATGCTTTTTCAGCATCTACCGAAAGAATTGCTGAATTTATCTTTTTGTTTTTACAATATTCAATAATATTGATAGTTTTTCTTATATTGTCTGTTATTGTGCGTCCAGGTATAAAACCAGCCTGATCTTTGTTGATATATTGTGTTATTAAATTGTTCAATCTAGTAGCCAATATTGTGGGGGGAAATTTAAAATGGTGATTTAATATGGAGATAGGACATGAAGATGGTAAAATTTTGTCTTTTCCAGGCTTTGGGATTACTATTACTTCCGCCCAAAATTTAGGTATTGTTCCAGATTGTAGAATTGAGTTCATAGTTTTCAACAAGTGTTGCTCAGTTTCAACTTTAAATTTTTTATATAGTTCTACTGGGATTCCGTCTCTCCCGTCTCTCCCTGGTGTTTTATTGTTCTTCATCCTGGATAAAGCATCTGAAATTTCTTTAATAGTAATCGACTGGTCTAAATATTGTTTATGTTCTTCAGTTAATTTGTTTTGATAATTTATTGATTGATATATTGTCCGTTATTGATTTCTTTAATAGTAATATGCTGGTTTAAATATTTCTTTAATAGTAATCGGCTGGTCTAAATATTGTTTATGTTCTTCAGTTAATTTGTTTTGATAATTTATTGATTGATATATTGTTCGTTATTGTGCGTCCAGGTATCAAACCAGCCTGATCTTTGTTGATATATTGTGTTATTAAATTTGTTTTGTTTGTTTAATTTGTTTTGATAATTTATTGATTCTAAATAATTGGTTATGTTGGATTCATTGGGGTTACTAGAAGTATATAATGATTGGTAAAATACAGAAAAAACCTTTGTTAATATTTTTAGATGATACCTGAATTGAATTCAAGTGGTCTTTAATAGCATGTACTAATGTAGATGATGTCTGGTCATTCTAAATGTAAGCATTTTTATAGACTTAGGAGTTTTAAGTATATATTTTTGTTTTAAGTACAATAATTGTTTTTGGACTTTTGAAGTTTCCAAGCGATCTAATTTCCCCCCTCTAAATTAAGTTTTTTTTAAAAAAATTATTTCCTCATATTTCATATGTTTACGTTCCAATTGTTTAATATTTGACTGAATTTCCAAAATTAATTTTTGTCTCTTTTTTCATGGAAGATGACACTGCAATCACATGACCCCTTATAACTGCCTTGAATGCATCCCAAATATTTATTTATTTATTATTTATTATTCACATTTCTATCCCACCCTCCCCGGAGGCTCAGGGCGGCTTACAGGGCGTTATCGCCATATAAAACGGTAAAACAATACAAAATAGTAAAATACATCACCATTAAA